TGGCCCTCTTCCAGTCCTCTGGCACCACACCAGAGCACCATGAGTTCTCGTAAAGCCGTGCCAGGGATCCCGCAATGACCTCAGCCAGTTCCCTCAGTACTCTGGGACCAGCTGATTGAATACATCCAGTCCTTCCAGAAATTCCCTAACTAGTTCCTCACTAACCCTTGGCCTAGGTGCGCCTCCCTTAGGGTCTAAGGGGGGCCAGAGAGGGAGGTGACTGTTCCGGTCCCTGTTCAGGAAAATGGAGGCAAAGAAATCGTTAAATATGTTGGCTTTGTCGTCTGGTGTGACGACAAAATTTCCTAGCGTGTCCTGCAGGGGCCCCACATTACCCAGAACCTTCTTTTTGCCCCCTATGTATTTAAAAAAGGACTTCTTGTTGTCCTTGATCTGGGAAGCTAGTCCCAGTTCATCTCCACCTTGGAAATCCAGCCAACATAATTGGAAAGTAAGAATACTCAGCACAATCCTGCCTCCTAAAACTACTCAAGTGCCCTTCACCAAAAGACATTGTTATGCAATGTAGAACTAGAATATTAGCTCTACTCCACCCACTCACAAATCCTGAATACAGTTGTGGATAGCCAGGCACAAATTAGAGCAGTCTTTGGGCTTCTTTAACTTTTGCAGGGATTGGGCAAATCTCTAGATGCCTGCAGGTTTTCAGAGGCAAAAAGATCATGAGTAACCATCTTTTCTTCCTCAATGCTGAGGTATATAAAGTGCTTCTCTAAAACCACTCTACTTGAGTCATGTCTAAAAAATAAAAAAGTCACCAAAAATAAAAAAAACACGTAGGAATACTTTGGTCCTTAACTAGTCTAATACCACATGGGCTAGTACAAAGAAGGGATTATAAATTCCAATTATAAAACATTCCATATGACTTTGTTCCTGTGCTATTTAATTGACATTACTGAACTTCTTGTTTCTAGACAAGAGAACTTAAGGTTTAATTCTAATTTACCAAATAAAAAGAAATGAAAAAATTGTCTCAGTGGTTTATAAACTCATTTTAAAGTTATGCCATGTTGAACTATTTTGTGATAGAGCAAAAATAGAGACAACATATTGTTTAGACCAGATGTATGTTTAGTTTTTAGGTAGCATATGGAGGACAAAGGATTATTTATATAATGGAGGTAGACACGTGTTACATACAAAACTGATTAAAAATCCAGTGCCTGATTTCAGCTTGCTCCAAGGGATCTCCTTCTGTTTGACATGAGGAAATGCTTCTAAATTTAGTTTAGCTGTTATAATCAATATTACATAAAAAGAACCTTGGGTGGATTTGCGTTGGTAATGTAGGAGGAAGTAAATCCCTGTTAGAGCCAGAATTTCCCTGTAACCAACTGAGTAGCTGTTAACAGAAGCTACTGGTAATATTCAAGGCCAGAATTTGTCCCAAAGAGAAAATCAGCATGAAATACCAGACCTGATACTAGGCATTTGTCAGTGACCATCTGTTAATGACTGTCTTTATGTCACACACTAAGAAGAAATGTAAAAACTATCCATGTAGATCTCTAGGACACAGCACTTACTGGTGTATACGTGCACGGCTAAATGGTGCTGTGTAACAATCTGTCTCTTCCAGGTCAGGAAGTGCCTCCTTGTCCAGCTTCATTGGATTTCTGGGCAACCAGCTTTTCAGTTCCCTCATGTTCCTCTGCAAACTGGGACAATGACATGTTAGGTTTTCATTATGTTCTCAGTTGCGTGTGGCTTTAATTACCATTGTATGTTATACATATTCAATTAAACGACACCAAAACTGAAGGTGGAAAGAAAGCAATTATGCATTTTTTCATTTGAGACTAAATTACCAAACTAAGCTAGTACTTTTGTTATTTGTGGCTTATCTTCTACATCTTACCCAGGCAGGATTCCCACTGCCAATAATAGGATTTTTTTGCCTAAACAATGATTACAAGATTTGGCTCACTGAAAATACACTTCAAAAGACAGTAGTAATTTAGTACTAGAGAAGTTGTCTGGCTGAGTCACAGTTTCATCCACTAAAGGATTTTTTTGGCTCAGTATTTTACCTCTTACTCATGAACTACTTAAATACTGATGTAGCCCTCAATCAGTCATGTAAATACAATCCCTTTAGATACCCAAGAAACAAAATTACTTCCTTTAAATTGAGAATTAAACATATCATTATTCACTGCATTTCTGTAAGTTATGATCATTATCATTAATTAAGCCTTCATTTGTAGAACTCTATCAATGTGTATATACTTATATTTATTCTCAGACCAAGGATCATCATAAATCAAATAAAAAAAGAAAGATACTTAAGGGCAAAAGATATAACATTGTTATACAGTCAATGATGAGACAAAAATGAGATAGCTTTATTCGTGATTTGTCTAGAAATCAAGGTTATCACAAAATCATGACTTAATCCTGATGCCCCTGCTCAAGATTTTTTATGCCTGACATTGGAAGTTTGCCTAAAAAGGCTGCCAGAATTGATTTGTAAACAAATTGGAAAGGTCAAGTAGGTAATCAAATCTACTTATTTCACTGGCCAGTGCCAGCAATTCTTTTTTAATTTGCCTGATTTTACATTCCTTACATACCCAAATTTTCTTCCCAGCAAGGTAAATGGAAAATTTGGATTTTCAAGAAACAATGGGTTTAGACAGAGTTATGAGAAAACACCAAGCTGTATTATGCCTTTGGAGGCATGGCTCACTCTGAGAGACACCCTAACTACATGCAAACATCACACAAAGAAGTGGAAGTTTGATCAAAACTACAATGGAATATTTTCCAGGTGAGTTGAGACCTGAATTACTTCTGGACTTTATCCCTACAAAAAGATTCAAAGGCACAAATCTTCACTCTTGAACTTTAACTGCCTTATTTATACTCATAGTTGGGCTGATGATTGGGTATAGTAGTTAGCAGTCCAACTACTTGGAATGAACCCACTTTTTGATTATAGAAGTATAGATGAGGACATAAATTTTACCTTAGTAGATGATGCTCATAAAGCAAGAGCATCCATAGAAACACCTGACTTCTAATTATCCAGCAAATAAATGAATTAAAGTAAGTAAATAAGCACTACTTTTATATAGAAGTGTGTCCATTTGCTGTTTAGAATCCTACAATTTAGAGCTAGATGCAAATTAAGTAATTTGCAATTAGCAGTTAAAGTTATATAGAAAAATTTTGCATCTGCTATGAAAATAGTTCCATGAAGTTAAGCTGAAATAAAATTGGAATATTACGGTGACTGATGAAAAAGCTTATTTTAAATTTGTACCAGGTTACACAAGGAGAACATTCAGGTCTTTCCATAACATACCATTGTAAGGGACTTCTAGTCCAAAGAGAAAGAGAAAGATCTTCTAGGTGAAACTGAAGCATGAACCCTTCAATCCAATTACATATTAACTCATCAAAAGAAGTGTAGGTGGAGCTTTTCAGAAAAGCTAAATAGCTTAGGTGGAGCACTGTGCTAAGCTGGTTAAGCTGTTCATGGTATCCAAGTCACTGAGCCATGTACATATATCATAATTATTTACATGTATAAATCTCTGTAGGATGAGCTCACAACATTTTATTTTTCAGATTCGTTCATCACCTAGAAAAGATTTAGCATGCTTCTAATGTATTTCTGCAGGAAGTCATCAAAGCTGTAGATTAAAGATAGCATTCCAAAACTAGTTTTGAGAACAGAAGGCCTGACCTACCTGTCACTTACAGGATCATCATTAACATTAAGAGTCACCCATGAGTTACAGTTCTGAAAGAGGAGACTCAAAACAACCGACTTCAGAGCCTGATCCAGCACCCCAGCAAAAGTTAGACCTTTGAGCTTTGTCATTAAGGATTGTTAGGTCTCCACAGTACTTTAACATATATGAAATGAAAATTCTAAAAATCTTATAAAATCTCCATGAAATTTGTTAGCTTATGCTAATTAGGCAGCTGTGCAAAACTGGTATTGTACTTCAGGTAGCGTACTTCAGGGATATGACACTATCAGGTATTAAGCCTTCTGGGCCAAGAAATCGAATTATGTTCATAAAGCAGAAACACAAAACAGTTCTCAGGCAGGTGTGTTTCTTACCTCTTTCAGCCAAATGTATGGTCCAATTTGCCATCCTTATACAGTCAGTACCTTAGTCTAAGAGTTCCTTCTGTTGTGGTTCCAGTGGGACTAAGTTTTTAATAAACTTGTCTAAGTGTGAAGCCTTCATTTTTCTTTCTTGTAGACATAGATTTTTGTTTGTTTGTTCAAAGCATGAAAATTATCTATCAATACTAGAAAAGGTGTAGGAGCACCATAGAAGGAAGAGGACGGGAAAGGAAAGTTGAACGTTTTAAGGTTCCTTCCCCTTCTTCATTTTTAATTATTTTTTCTACAAGGCTGAACAACTGGAAGATTGAGAGTTTTGTTTAATCTTGAGAAAATACAGAAAACTGTCTTTTTATTTTACACTCATAGCTGCTCCTTTGAATCAACATGTGAAGTCAAGCAGAGACTTTGAATAAAATGGAAATGACAGCCATATTATATTTTCTTTTCTTTCCTACAGTGAAAATGGCATTCAATCAAAAATATAATCTTTTTTTTTCTTGAATCACTTCTGGCTGATCACCCCAAAACCTGGTGACTTCAGAGAGAGCAAAATGTGTCAACTCAAAAACATATTTTCCAATGCGAAAAATAAACCCGAACAACCTACATCTTTTTGTGGCTTAGCCTGATGCTCAGCCAAAGACGAAATAGAATATTTGTGGCATTTTCATTCAATATGTTATTCAATTTCAGACAAATTACTCTATTATGGATTGTCAGTGTTCAAGATGAATGAATAGGGTTAGCAAACAGGACAGTTTACAAGAAGTCTGCTGGGAACAAGAGGAGAAAAAAGAATGGGAAGAGGAAAAGGAGCCAGGCACCAGATTCTGCTCCAGGAATGTATATGAGCCAGGGCTGCCTGTATGTTTGACTTGCTGTTTGTTTGGTGGGCTCTGTGTTTGTGAATGTGCTTTGAGCAGCTGGGAGTGCTGCTAGCTGAGCGATTGCTGTTTATGCCTGATGAAAACCCTAGCAAGGGGGTGGAGCCATTCCAGCTCAGCAGGGTATAAAAGGAGACTCTCTGAGTGACCTGAGAGCAAATAAAGAGGGGTAGCAAACAGAGCAGTTTTCTGGGCAGTTTGCAGATCAGTTTGCTGCCAGCGTCCAAGTGAAGGGCCCGGGCAGGAGCAAATGCATCTTGCAGATCAATGCATGGCTGTACACATGGTGTTGCCAGCAGGGCTTTGGCTTTTTCAGCCATGGGATATTGTTCCAAGGAGAAGAAATGGGATCCATTTGATGAAAAGAGGGAAGAGAATCTTTGCAGACAAGCTCACTTACCTAGAGAGGAGGTTTAAGCTAGGTTTGTTGGAGACCAAAGCCCTGACGTAAGTGGAGAAACAGGTGACCTGAAGAAAACACAAGCATGAGGGGGCAACAGGGGACACCTTCTCATTCTTGAGAAAGTAGGGCAATCAGCTTATTACCTCAGGTGTCTGTACATGAATGCATGGAGTCTGGGCAACAAACAGGAAGAATTGCAAGTCCTTACATAGTCACAGAGCTATGATGTGACTGGAATAACATAGACTTGGTGGGATAGCTCGCATGACTGGAGTATTAGAATGGATAGGTATAAACTGTTCAGAAAAACAGGGAAGGGAGAAAAGGAGGAGGACTTGCTTTCTATGTAAAATAGCTGTATGATTGCTTAGAGCTGTATGATTATTCAGTACAAAACTGAAGATAGGCCTCTTGCAAGTCTCTGGATTAGGGTCAGAGGGGGATGAACAAGGGTGATGTCTTGGTGGGTGTGCGCTACAGACCACCACATCAGGAGGATGAGGCTTTCTTTAAACAGTCAGCGGAAGCTACCCAATCACAGGCCCTGGTTCTCATGGGAGACTTCAATCACCCTGACATCTGTTGGGAGGGCAATACAGCAGTGCAGAGGCAATCAAGGAATGTTGGAGAGTGCTGGAGACAGCTTCCTGGTGGAAGTGTTGGAGAGGCCAACTAGGGGCCATTTTCTTCTTGATCTATCTGTTGCTCACAAACAGGTGGGAAACATAGAAATGGATGGCACAAATTGGTGGGAAATAGAAATGGATTTCCCACAAATTGGTGGGAAATGGATGGCAACTTGGGCTGCAGCAACCATGAGATGAGTGAGTTCAGGATCCTGAGGAAAGAAAAAAAAGAGAGTATCAGAGTAAGGACCCTGGACTTCAGAAAAGCAGACTTATATTTGCTCTGAGAACTGAGGGATAGATCTTCTAGATGGCTAGTCTGAGGGGGAAAGGAGCCCAGTAGAGCCGGTTGTATTTTAAATAAACCTTACTGAGGGTGCAGGAACAAACCATCTTGATGCAGAGGAAGACTAGCTAATATGGCAGATGACCAGCTTGTCTTAGCAAGGAACTCTTCAGTGAGCTAAAACACAAAAAGGAAGCATACAAAAAGTAGAAACATGGACAAAAGACTAGGAAGGAGTATAAAAGTCTAGCTCAGGCACGCAAGGATGAAATCAAGAAGGCCAAAGTGCAATTGTAGTTGCAGGTAGCAAAGGACATTAAGGGTAACAAGCAGAGTTTCTACAAGTATGTCAGCAACAAGAGGAAGATCAGG